CCACACTGCATCAAATTAAAGTTGATTACATCGATTAAGCATCATGAGGTGGAGGGTGGGGGGGTTCACTATTTTTTATTTATTTATTTTTTTGCTGGGAGTTTGCAGCCCTGTTAGGTTGCTTAATATTTCTGCTAAGTACTCTTTAAAACACCAGAACAGGGAGGATGGAGCAGGTTTAAATTTATTAGATTGATCAGTTTTGCTGAACTGTGAAATATTTTGGGTGCAGTGTGTTTTTCACACACAGGTGTAACAGGATAGCTTTAGTGTTGTTGTTTATTTAAACTTGAGTATGAACTTATACAAAATGCAGCAAGATATTTAAAAAACAGTTTTATTGATTAAAAACACCATATCAGATTCATATCGGTATCAGACATAAAAAAGTGGTATCGTGCCATCTCTAGTTAAAAGTTGAAATGTAAATAGTTGGTTTTTATATTTCATAATTTATTTATTACATTTTATGTAGAGTGAATAAATAAAAGTACGGTGGCCCCTAGAGACAGAACACGTACAAACTCCAAAACACATTTCCAGCATTAACTGAACTTCCACACAGAGCTACCTAGATCACTTAAATTACACAATTGAAAGCATATGTGTATTATTTGTGTATTTATACACAAGCACTCATATATATATTCAAATAATTTTTAAAAAAAGTTCATTTACCTGTTACTACCACACACCAAATCGGTCGTTGGTACTTCCTGGCTTGTGTAGCCAATAGGATCCTGGAGCATTTCCGTTGTGTTTTGGAGTTTGTACGTGCTATTGGTTCAAAACTATTTCACAATTAAGTCAAGAGATGCCCTCATGCCTCAATGACATATCATGTCATTGATTAACATCATATTTCGTGCTTTATATATGCAAAAATTTAGGCCATTAACAAGATGTTGAATCACTATTAAAAATACCTTAAGGCTGGATTTGGTAGAAATGAGTTCTGGCTAAATATCAAAAATGTTATCTTAATGCAGTTTTATTTTGAAGAGTTTGATAACTTACAACTGAAAAATCTGAACAGCAAACTGTTTTCTTTCTTTTAAATTCGATCCATTTTACAAAATGTAAGGTTTTTACTTTAAACGTGCTGCAGGCTTGAGGAGCAGTGCCAGGGAGGCTGGAAGGGCAGCTGAAACCCGTCCAGTAATCATGCTCTAAATCTTTCAGTGACAGAACAGCTGCTGCAGCTAAGGCCCACTAGCCCCTTTCTCCCCGATCTGCCTCCCCAGGTTCTGGTGGCGGTAGGCACTGCATGCGACCCACGTAGGGCCACACAGATACAGAGACAGAAGTGTTGGAGATGTGGGCGGCTGGGACACCTGTGACGGGAGTGTCCATTGATGGAGGTGGGCTAGGCTTTCCGTATCACTGAGGCTCCAACACTCTCTCCCAGGTCCAGGAGGAACAATGTTCCAGACATGGGCTGCATGAAGACCATGGTCCACCAAACCCTGGGTTAACCAGGAACCTTGCTGGAGGTAGAATGGGTGGAGGTCAGATATGTGCATGGGGATGTGCAGAAATATGTCATAGTGCTGTTGCAGATAAAGTTTAAGGGCAAAACACATGTAAAGGCTGCAGTTAGCTCACGCCTGTCGTATCTCTTAATTCTGGGGACAGATTGGCTGGGGTTTAATAACATTTTGGGACAGTGTGTGGGGGAAGCACTCACTTTGTGCGGTGTGTAGTGTCTGTGCTGGACTCAGTGGTGACTCTGGGTTGGAGGAGATGGCAGGGCCTTCTCGTGAGGCCCCACCGGCTCCCATTAATTGTCACTACCATTAATGGGGGTCCCATTTGAGTGCATTGGGATGGACCTTATTGGGCAATTTCGATGGTGCACGTGGATATCACTTTGTATTAGTTCTGGTCAATTATGCAACTCTATATCTGAAGCAGTGCTGCTGTACACCATTTCTGCAAAGAGTGTAGCACAGGCAGTGTTTCAGGTGATCTCCTGAGTCGGCATTGTGAAAGAGATACTGACTGACCAGGGTACATCGTCTCATGCACTTAAAGAATTGTACGAATTACTGGGCATTTCATCTGTTCAGACCAGTGTCTACCACCCTCAGACTGATGGAGTGACAGGTGGAGCGGCTGAATGAGTCTTTAAAATCCATGATTCGTAAGTCCATTCACAAGGATGAACCCAATCAGGATCTCTGGTTAGACCCTCTATTGTTTGCAGCATGGGAGGTGCCCCAGACCTCCACTGGGTTTTCTCTAATTTGAAATGGCCGGAAGCCACGGGGCTTATTGGACCTGACTGAAGAAAACTGGGAAGGTTATCACAAAAAAATTTGCTCCCGGTCCAGGAATGCCAGCAGTGCCTGTAGAACAGAGTGGCCAGACTCAAGCAATTTTCACCCAGAGATAAAGTGCTTGTATTACTCCCTTCTTCTAGCTCAAGGTTACTCGCCAAGTGTTAAGGAGCCTCTGTGGTCACACAGCGAGTCGGTGATGTTGACTATGTGGGTGATTGTTATTACCATCTCACACAGCCCAAGGGAGCAGATGTTGCTGTACAGCAGCAGCGGTTTGCAGATGTGTCATCTTTCCATTTGGCTTGTTCGGAACCACAACAACTTTCCAGCGCTTCACTGAGCTCTTTGCACCCCTTTAAATTCAAGGTGGTCCATAGGCCAAGCTGGTAGTAGCGGATTTTCTCTCCCACTTGCCGGGGTGCTCCCTGGCCTCAGTTGGACGGCGGGGGTGTGTGGCGGAGGTTTGGTCTACGGGTCCGTTGCAGGGAAGGATGGTGCAGCATGCTTGAGGGGTAGTGCCACAGAGGCTGGCAGGACACCTGAAACCCATCCAGTAATCATGCTCCAAGCAGAGTGGAGACAGCTGGAAATCTGTCTGGTCGTGGACTGAAACGACAGAGCTGAAACTAAACTCTTGTTGTAAACAAGAACTGGGGCTTCCATACAGCACCTGTGGATCAACAGCTTCCTCTCAGGCCATAGACAGAGAGTCAGAGTTGGCCATCACACATCCTCAGCCCTGAGCCTCAGCACTGGCTCACCCCAGGGCTGTGTGCTCAGTCCACTGCTCTACACATGACTGCACTCATGTCCACCACAGCAACATCTCTGTGAAATTTGCAGACGACACCACCGTGGTGGGGCTCATTTCCAGGGGTGACGAATCTTACAGAGACGAGGTGGAGCAGCTGTCGTTATGGTGTAAGGCCAATAACCTCCTCAACACTTCAAAAACAAAGAACTCATAATAGACTTCAGAAGGAAAAAGGCAGAGATCTCACCACTATTCATTAACGGGGACTGTGTAGGAAGGGTGCCAAGCTTCCGCTTTCTGGGAGTCAACATAGAGGAGAACCTTTCCTGGAGTGTGAACACCTCCGAGCTGCTGAAATGGGCCCAACAGAGACTTCCTGAGAATTCTCAGGAGGAATAACATCACTCTGGAGCTGTGTCCCAAAACGTAGGCTGCATCCTTCGGAGGACCCGGCCTTCGCGGTCTACGTGGGCCGGGTCCTTCGAAGACTGAGAAGGCCGGAAGTGCGAGGCTGTGAAATTGGACGGTCTAGCCTTGAGATTTGTGTCACCGCTGTGTCGGTGGAGTTTAATAAACTCGCCGTCTGCTCCTTGCTATCTAAAATATAACAGGACACGGGCGTAAATTCTCGACCGTCTCACACTTTGATGTTTGACGTTTATTCAGCTGTATGAAAATCCCGGAGGAACCCACCCGAGGGATTAATAAGGTTTTATTTAATCTAATAACTTTGATCTCGGCCAAACCGATTTACTCAGGAACAAATAAAACACAGAAAAAAGCCAAACAATTACATTTTAAGTTATTCGAGTGACTTATATCATGTTTAACCTGAGTAGCGAAAGACAGCGGGGGTCTGAAAACGATGAAGCCGGGAGTCCGCTGCTCTCGCCGGCTCGAGTGACCATTGAACCCCCCGGTCAGCTATCGAGCTGGTGGGTAACAGACGTCTCCGAAACAGTTGGTGCACTTTTGCAAATATGCGACGTCTTGATAAACCGAGCAGATATTTGAAGTTTACACAGCTACTTTCTTGCCTGAAGATATGTTAAAAGTTTACTTTGTGACCCAGAAAGATTAATAAGAGTAATTTTAAAACTTAGTAGCGGCCGCCATTGTTGAAAACTGAAATTGGCTGGGCCGCTCTATGAATTCTGGGATATGGTGGGCCACGAAGGACACACCTGACCCATCCTTCAAATTCGGGGAAATGAAGGACGCATTCTTCTACAGAGCCACCATTGAGAGTGTACTAACCTATTGCATATGCATCTGGTACACTAGCTGCACAGTGGCTCAGAGGAAAGCACTCCAGGGGGTCATTAACACCGCCCAAAAGATCACTGGCTGCCCCTCCCCACACTGGAAGATCTACACAACCGCCGCTGTCTTAAAAATGCCCAAAACATCATAGAAGATTCCTCACATCCTGGGCACTCCCTGTTTGAACTGTTGCCCTCAGGCAGACGGTACAGAGCAATCAGTGTAAGGACTAATGGACTCAAACAGCTTTTATCCAGCTGCAGTAACACGTCTGAATGCTGCTACAAAAAAAATGCCAATCATGCCACTCTTGTATTAACCTATGCGCTGACCGGAGCATGTATGTGAATGTTTGTTGATGCCTCTGATTAGCACTTTAAGTATTCTATTTATTTTATTTATTGAGTTTTATTGTTTTATTTATATTTTAATTATATTTTGATATCGTTAGGGATGATGCAGTGATCGGGGACCATTTTTAATTTCGTTGCACCTGTGACGATCACAATAAAGATTCTGATTCTAAGTAAAAGCATCAGAAACACACTGAATGCCGAAGGTCGTGATTGGGGTTCACACTGAACTGCTAAACTGGAAACATTTTATGTTGTTTAGATGAATAATTTGTTCAGTGAGTTTTATTTCATTTTATGAGTTTTAAAATTGTTTACACAGCATCAGCATTTGAGGAATTAACTTAAATAAGCAATGAAACCATGAAAAACACTCAAAACTTTCATGTTTCATTATACAGCTTCAACTGCAATTGAATTATACTTTACACACAAACCAAAAAGGCCTTCTAAACACAATCAGCTCAACAATGCTGGACTCAGGACCGTCAGATTACAGTGTCTCTACCAAACGAGGAGACCATGAACACGTCCAGTGAACTTCTACCACGGTCACTGTCACAGAGGAGACGGGTAACGAGAAACTTCACCGTCCTAGATGATGTCTCTGACAGACTTACCTGAACAGGTGATATCCAGGGTGGAGGAAGAGCGATCTGCTGATGCGCACTCTTTCAGAGCGTATCCAGCCTGAACACAGTGTGACTCCATCCACCACACCGATCTCTGTGAAGAACTCTGAGTATTTCCTACAGAAACAGCAGAACCACAGTTCATCTGTCCACAGACAGCAGCTGCATCCTTCAGGTTCCAGATATCCATCGCCACTGGTCTCCACTCTCCTCGTCTCACCTCCAGTGTACCTGCACAGCGACTGGCTCTTCCCACCAACCTGACAGGCTCTGACAGAAAGCAGAGAGTCATCAGTGAAAGAACAAAGTGAGTTTGAACCAAAGCTGCAGCTCCTCTTCTACCTGAGCAGGTGAGTCCAGCAGCTTTGCCAGGTGAGCAGCTGCTTCTAGCTGAGCCTGAGCTTCTACAGTCCAGGAGAGCAGACTCATGGCCTCCACACTGGAACTCTCTGCTCCACACTGGAGCCTCCGCTTCTCCATAGAGCGCCCCCTGGAGGAGCGAAGGAGGCCCACAGCCAAGCTCCCTGCAGACCACCTCTGCATCCTGCAGGTCAAAGTCATCTTCACACACTGAGGACCATCTCTGGCTAGACTTCACCTGCAGTCCACCTGAACACAGACTGGAACCGTTCAGCAGCCTGACAGAGTCTGCAGAGATCAGAGAAATCAAACAGCGGTCCAATAAAACACTGAAACACAAAGTAAATGTTTCTTTTGTAGCACAGTCTTGGGAACATGCAAATGGACCCCATGGTGCAGTTTCACTGTGAAAAAAAGGAGGCTGTACACCCTTAAAGTCAGGTGGTTACCTTATGCACATTTCCTTCTTTTCTCAAATTTAAAGAAGCTGATGGTTTCCTGTTCCTGGTTCTGCTGTGAGTTAGTTAGCAGTCAGTCACACCTGCCCATGACTAGTAACAGAAAAAAATAGCTACTGGAAACTCAGCCTAGAGCTTTTTGGCTGGATCACACTGATGCCAATGTTGCCTTCAAATGCATGGATCCACATACTTGTCCCATTGCCTCGCCCTGTTTAGACTAATGCTAACATCAGTATCATTCGAACATGCACCATTTTAATGGAGGAATGTTTTTTTTACTTACCTAGACTTTTAACACTTTCAAAGACGTTGATAATGAGTTCGACGACAATGTCCTGGAGACTGTCAAAATCTTTGACTATGTAAATTTTATTGTGATCAGCGTTGATCAACTTCAGTTGAGTCACATTGACTTTTGCAACACCTGAAAGACAAAAGTGTCAGTACTGCTGCTTAACATGTGAGCTACATGGCTTTGTCATATTTGGAACCAGTGTCCTGCAGACAGGTTGGACTCAGTTCTACTCTGCTACTCTACTCATGCTTGCATGGTTAGAGTAGAAAAATTATGGATTGTTTATAGAAATATTGTTTTATTTTAATGTATACATAATGCGAATGTGCTCATAAACAGGTCGGCGCTCTGTGTTTTGAGGCTTGAGAGCTTCATTCAGCGCTATTGTCTGGATTTGAAATATTGCAGGAAGACATAGAGTGAAGGAGGGTTTTTGCAGCATGCTTACATACACATGATACTGGTTAGAATAGTCTCTGGGTCAGGAAGTCCAAACGAGGCCCTGAACTGGGCCTTAGAATCAGCAGAAGAATAATGGATAATATTAGATAATCAAGGCTATGCAGGGTGTGTGTTGTGTCTGTCTTTCTGATTCCAGGAGAAGCAGACACAAGGCGAGGTCAGAAGGAAGGACTGAACCGGGGAGGACTGCCCACAGTCACAGTTACTGTCACAGTATATAAGCTGTGCAGCTCGTGTCAGGGTTGTCTTTGGTGTGAGGCAGCCTGTTGTAGCACGCTGGGCTCCGGCACTGTGAACTTGTAATTCCAACAGCTGAAGCAAATTAAATCTTACTGTTTGGAACAGTTTCAGGTAAGTTTTTAAAGGTTTTTAGGATTAAAATAGGCTTTGCTCAAGGTTTCAGGCAGGGTTCATGACCCTGTTTGGGACTGGTTTTGGGACTGGGAAATAAGCTGGTAGAGGGGGCCGCCCATCAAGATGTTACTGAAGTTTAGACTTTCAGATTTAGTTAAAGGGGTTTAAATCATTTTTTTCATTAACTGTTTTTAGAACACTTTTTAATGGTTAAGACTTAATAGAAAAATGAAATTATTCACCAATAACAAAGACTTCAATGCCGCTGTCTTTCAAATTCTTTGAGGGAAGTTCTATGTCATCATAAGACGCCCCGTCTGTGATCAGAACAGCAATCTTTTTGGAGTCTGGACGCATTCCCACATTGGGTTTGAACTGGTTACGGAGGATGTGTGTCAGAGCTTTTCCTGTGACGAGAAAGAGGAAACAAGAAGTGGAGAGTGATAAAGCACGATCAATATAAACCCCAAGATGCATTTCAACAGGAACTCATCGGAGCTTTGGTAGTGTGTGAGTGATGTGTCCCTTCAGATTATCCTGATGTAATTGCGTTGGATTCCATTTAAAAACAGTCAGAATGCAAAAACTACTTTGATCGTCATTTTCATTCAACCGTATACAGAAATAAATCACCTGTGTAAGTGCTTCCACGCGCTTTTTCTAGGTCTTCTATGGCCGTCAGCAGGGATTGTTTGGTCTGGTGGGTGTTCAGGTGCCACACAGTCTTTGGTGTGGTGCTGAACAAAGTCAGACCTGCAGAAAACACCCAGCAGAGCATTCTGTTCATAATACAAACTATTTATGTTAAAAATATCACTAAAAACACATTACTGTTAACAAGCTCATAGCAAGAATAAATTGGTATACATGTATTTGAATATTTCCCCAAGCTTTAAGTCCTTTAAATGAAACAGTATCATTACTAACAGTCAGCTAGTAATAAGAGCATAAATAAAAATATTACCGATCTGGACTCGGTCCAGACCGATGTCGAGGTTGTTGACAAAGTGCTTGAGAAACAAGCGAATGATTCTGAAGTCCTGAGGAGTGATGCTTCCAGACTCATCCACCAGTATCACGAGGTCAGCTTTGGCTGCTTCACACGGAGCATCTTTATAAAAAAACAGAACTGTGAGAAAACTCCTGACAGATCAGCACGTTCTCACTCCCAAAGTGTAACATGTTACGCTTGGTGACAGATCTTCAGTATGTTCCGCTTTCGGCCACCCAACATCTAACACGATGGTGGTTCAGGTTAGGGTTAGGGCTCTAATACGCAGCTGGAACGTCCATTACCCCCGGGAGCGTCGATCTATTGGAGTCCATCCACAGCCTGGCGTGTATCATAGGAAAGCGGAAGGCGTTCCATTAATATACCACAGTAGGATACCCAAAGCAGTGTTTGGATACTTGCTTATATCTTTGAAATGTTTTTGTATTTAACGCAGCACTGTGGTGGATTCTGTCTCAACAGATCTGAAGGTTAAAGGTCTAAACTGGTTCAAGCTGTTTGAACTGAGGAGTCAGTCATTTGTGTGGTGTGTCCCTCTGCTTTTCTGTTCAGCCTGATAAAACTGCTTCACTATAATATGAAGATAACTAGATTTACAGGAGCCCTCTGAAAGAGTCACAGCGCTGTATTATCAGAGTAATTATCACTAAAATCTAAAATCTAGGATTGTTACTGTGACTGCATT